ACTTTTGCCCATCTCTGGGGAAGACCCAGCATTGGTGGTACCCAGGATGTTGAAGCAACAACCTGATCCCTGACCTCCCTGTCCCAGTTCTACTGGCCCAACCCTTTACAGATCACATATGATCCTCCATAAGTTAGACCCTGCCCTGGGGCCGGGGAGATAGCTCAGTAGAATAAGCACTTGCCTGTCAAGCACAAGGACCTGAGTTCAATCCCTATTCTGTCGAAAGAAAGAAAGAAAGAAAGAAAGAAAGAAAGAAAGAAAGAAAGAAAAGTTAGACCCAGGCTGATGGCCACTGACGTCAGCACAGCCCAGAACCTTGATGCTGGCATCTGGAGGAGGGTACCACCTGTTGTTTCTATCACTCATGAGCTCTTGGGCAGGGGGTAGGGGGTAGTGTGGCATAGCTTGTGTTTGGTGTAACTCCAGCTGCACCCCTGACCAGGGTCCTGTGGCAGTGTCCCATCATTTCTCCTGTATGCTTTCCACCTGAGCTATCAGCTCTCCATCTCTGCCTCCCCTTTTGAGCCTGAGGCAGTGTTTCCCTCTCCTACCCATCTCCTCATCTGACTAGGGCACTTCTACTCTCAGTGCTCTTGGAGGGTTAGGGTGTCTGGCCTCTGTCTTACCCCAAGGCCTTCTGCCTCTTTGCCAAATCTCGGTTCCAAAGGGCTGGTAACCTGATTCACATTTCCACTGATCAGTGACCTAGGAAACAAGGACTACAAGGGCTGGCTAGATAGCTCAGCAGACTAAAGGCAGGGACCTGGGTTCAATCCCCAGTGGACTGTGGCAGCCCCACCCCCAGGGCTGTCTGAGACAGTGATTGAGACTGGGCATGGTAGCATGTGCCTATAATCCCAGCGCTTGGGTGGCTGAAAACAGAATCTCTAGGAGTCCAATCTGTGTAGTGAGACCCTATAGACTTTGTACTAAATGTGTACAAAAAAAGGAAATGGACTAGTCGCTGTGCCCAAAACCCCCATGTCAGAGCACATGATGCCCTAGAAGATTACCTCCTTAGCTGGGGAGCCTTGGACACCATTGATTTACTCGTTGAGACAGGCAAGAGTTTTGGAAGTAGGTCTGCTTAGGAATCTGAAATATAAGACTTGAGTAAGGAGGATTCAGGAGTGTTACTACGTAGTGCTTTTGTGGTGGTAGCTTGTCATACTGAGTTTTTTTTTTCCTTCGGAACCCAGGACTGAACTCAGGCCCTTATGCTTACCAGGGAAGTGCTTATTCCACTAAGCCATCTCCCTGGCCCCAATCATATTGAGTTTTAGAGCTAATCAGTGTTTATTTCTGCATGAGAGTCACATCCTAGATTTTCTGGGTCCCACTGGTGTCCTGACACTAGGAGGAAATGGTCAACCTGGGTAACTCTGAACTTCAGATCCGACCTGGATGGAAGATGCAAGGCCAGACTTCTTTCTCCCTTAGGGACTGTGTGGCCTTGGACAAGAAGCTGTTCCTGCTCAGACCAGTGCTAGACTAAGAAGGTCAAGGAAACTAGGTTGAGCATATGGGATATGCCAGTGAGCCTGGCACAACCATGCCTACATTCTGGACCTCACAGAATACTTGGGAGGTCAGCTAGCTGGGCAGTGCTTTATAGTTAATACCCAAGGGGAAGACCCTTGGCTGCATTTTGGAAGTGGCAACCTCTTGTCAAGGGCCTGAGGGCTCCTGACCCTCAGAACAGGAAAGTGAGCTGTTATTATGGGCCTGGGTACCATCTATCCTGTAGTGGAATGAGTAGGTCTCCAGAATTGAAGAGGTGGTTCAGGCTTGAGAGAGGTGCTAAAAGCCTAGCTGACCACAGAGAACTTGTAACCTACTAGAAGTCATGGGAACCTGCTTCCTAAAACTCTCTTGAGCCTGGCCAGTGCCCCTGGCTTCTTTAAATGAGGGGAGACGCCAACCCACATGGACCCTCTGGATATGCACAGGCTGAGTCACATGTAATCTGCTTGCACTTGGGCAGAAGGAGAGGCTGGGTGCCATTCTAGGGGTACAGGTGAAAAATAGCTGTTTCTGGGCCACTTGTATGTATTTAGCATATGCCAAGGGGCCTGGGGTCTCAGCTCCCTAGGGATGGGATCTCCAGGGATTTGACTATGGAGGACATGGGAGGTGTTTGTTCTGAGGTTGCTGTGGTAGGTGCCGAGACTTGCTGCCAGATATATTATCTCTCCCACGGGATCATACTCATCACTGTATGTGTATGAGGAAATTGAGACCCCTAGCAGATGATGATAAGCCCAAAGTCATGCTGCTAGGGACCTGTGGGCTGGGGTCTGAGCCTGGCATCATGGCTCTAAGCCAACATCTATCCTAGGAGGCCCTGTGGCTTCCACCTTGTCACCCTGGAGGAAGTCAGTGTTTTTGTCCTACTGGGCTTTCTCATTGGGTGATGCCACATAATGTGTGACTGGTCATCATTTCTGAGGGAGCACCTACAGGTTTCATCCCTGGAATACATGACCATTTACTACTTAATTACTGTGCTCTGTTCTTCCTTTCCTTCTAAAGGCAATGAAGTGAATCCAGCATCTTCCAATCTAATGGTAGGATATCCTGACCTAGGCACTGCAGAGACTATTTCTGGAAGTACCTGAGTTCTTGTGAGCCTGGTTATATTGAGTGGCCACTGTGTCCAGCATTTGTGGAGTTATCTGGCGCTCAGCTTCTTACTAAGCAATGAGTACAAGTTGGAGCAGATGCAGGCTGGCCCAGCCACAGCTGAGGCTGAGTGTGTGGCCACCCTTTGGCCAGTTCTATGTGGGAAGTCTGGGGAAGTTGAGGGAAAAAGGCTCTGGAGCATGGTGACAACCCTTCTGTGGGCAGGTGGGTTGGGCTGCATGTGGCTCTGGAACTTAGCTGACAAGCATCCCTTGAACAGCTGGTAAGGGGCTATGTATGAGTGTGGTTTGTCCTTTGGCTGGATCAGCCCAGGCTTAGGGTGGCTTTCCTAGGTGAGTAGTCAGGGTAGTACTGGGAAGTAAGTAATGATATATTAGGCAGTTTCAGAGCCCCATCTGAAAGGCCCACAAACTCCTTCCTGAGTCTGGTTTAGCAACTTAGAGCCAGGAGGAGAGGCCCAGTGCCCTGGAGGTAGGGCCTATAGCCCCAACTCTGCTTAGAAGCTCTAGGAGGGTCAGACTGCAGCCAGGAGGAATGTGGTTGCCCTCTGCTCAGGCTAGTGGACCCTGGAGGCAACTTTTGTGGAACTGGACCCAGAACCTGGATAAAGCCCAGGTAACCTCTCACCAAGAGGTGCCTAAAGCTATGCACACGTGGAGGAATAACAGGTCCTGCGGGGGTAGGGTGTCCTTTGTGTTGGTGTCCCTACTGGGCTTCCTCCTTGGGTGGGGCCACATAATGCTGTGTGACCGGTCATCTGAGGGCACCCAGAAGTTTCATCCTGGAATACATGGCGATTTACTATTTCACTACTGTGCTGTATTCTTCCTTTCCTTCTAAAAGTCCCCAGGCAGATACAGGTTATAAGAGGGTCTATGACCTAGGCTTTGGGACTGTGTCTCTTACATTCAGCCTAGCCTTGAACTCACTATGTAGTCCAGGCTGGCCTCAAAACTCACAGCAGTCATCCTGCCTTAGTCTCCTGATTGCTGGTGTTACAGGCATGTGCCACCACACTTGGCATGTTTCCCACATTTTTAACCCACCCCTAATCCCCAGTCTGTTCTGCACTGACCCCTGGTGATAGACAGGCAGATGGATTTTCCCACCCAGGACCTACCTCACCTAGCCACTTCTGCCAGTCCATACATCAGTACCTGATGCTGACTTGCCCTTGCCAAGCCCTGTTTATCCAGCCCAGCAAAGGCAGGCCATTCTGTCACATTAATTTTTAACCTAAGTTAGTACTTGAGGTTTGAATGCACATAATATGTGGCATTCATGCTGAGGAGAAGTTTGTGGAAGGCCTCTATTGCTAAGTCCTTAGCATGTAGGTTCCACTGCTTACATCACCATTCTTGGCAGCTGGGGTTTACCAAGGACCCCACATGTACAGCCATAGTCCCTAACACAGCCAGGCAGTGCTTAGGTGGTTTACCCTCCTCTGTAAATGCTGCAGAGAGGCTGTGGCATGGTGAGCTAAGCATCTAGGCCTCTCTTTTATACTGTGAGCCCTTTCAGGGCCAAGGCTACAGCCTACTCTATGTCTCTTGATGGTACCAAGTGGTGCTTAGATGATATCTGTTGAGACCTACAATAGGAATGGTTTCTGGCAGCCCCCCATCCATGTGAGAAAGGACCCCCACCCCCACCCCAGGAGAGACCTGATTACTGCTAACCCATCAAGATCCACCCAGCGGAGCACCCTATCCCACTTGTAGCCCCATTTCTACCTGCCTTCGTCCTGGGCCAACTTTGCCCCCTGCTGGGAATGACTCTGGCAGGTTGCCACTCTCCCTGGGTGGTAGGGGCTGGCAGCTCTCATCTATGCTCATCAGCAAGGCAAGGGTTGAAAGGCCAGTGTTGATGTCAGCCAGGGCCCTGTTCCTTTCATGAACAGGCTTTCCAAAAGCTAAGGAAAGAGTGCCTGCTTCGGTGTGGGGAAGCAACATCCCCTCCCCCATTGACAGCTGCTGGCTGCGAGCCCTGCCATGCCAGGTCAAGAGCCTGTTCTTGTAGAACAGGAAAATGGCAGTTTCCAGTCCCTGGAGACTCAAATTAATCACTACGAGTTGGGCCTGGATCAGAGAAGGGCTGAGACCCCAAGGATCTGAAGAGGCCCCACTCTCCACAGAGCCTAAGCTGGCTGTGTCCTGCCATGTCCCCTTGAACAACTCTTAGGTTTTGCTAGATACCAGCACAACTTGGGGACTACCACGTGCTCCTCTCCTCACCAGCTGGAGTCCCTTGGGACAGCTGGCCTGGCCTGGCTGGAGCTAGTGCACACAGGCGGGCACGTGTGTGTGCACCGTCCAACAGGTCTGTGAGCTTCATTTCCCTTTCCTTCTTCGCAGTGTACTAATGGTCACTTGATGTGCGCTGGCTGTTTTATCCACCTACTAGCAGATGCCCGGCTGAAGGAGGAGCAGGCCACGTGCCCCAACTGTCGTTGTGAGATCAGTAAGAGCCTCTGCTGCCGGAACCTGGCCGTGGAGAAAGCCGTGAGCGAGCTGCCCTCAGAGTGTGGCTTTTGCCTACGCCAGTTTCCCCGCTCCCTCCTGGAGAGGCACCAAAAAGAGGAATGCCAGGACAGGTGACTGCTGGGGCTGGGGGCATGATCACACAGGTGGAGACCCTGGTGCAGGCACAGCCCCATACAGGATGATCGGGCTGGTCCAGCCCAGTAACAGTCCTGTAGGCCCCAGGAGTGGGGGAAGTGTGGGCTCCACAGAGCATGGCATGGAGGCTGTACCTAGTTGCTATCTGGACATGCTGACACTGGCCTGCAGAATTCCCTGTGGGTAGTCCTTGAAGGCCCATGGCTGTGTAACCAACTTAGGAGCTCTGGGATCTTTGTGTGAGGTTGCTCTGTAGTCAGGTCCCTGCAGGTAGACATGGCCACCCAGCTGAAGGGCCCATAGTATGAAGCCTTTCTTGGAATGAAGGGGTCTAGGACTGTGATCAGGCAGCCACTCACTTCCAAGCTGAGGAGAGACACCACAGCAGTGGATGAAGGAGGCACGCTGGCCCAGAGCTCTCTCTTGGTCCTTCTTCCTCCCTCTCCCTTTTTCCCCTCTCTTTCATTCCTCTGTCTACCTCTTCCCTCTCTTTCACAGACATGTATGTACATGTGTACTCTGAACCTGCCATGGTGGCTAAGCTCAGGGCAAAACGTGTCCTACAGGGAGAGGTTTGTGGCTAGCAGAAACTGCCTCTGGAGGACAATTGGACCCAGCCACCTACGCTAGACACAGGTGTGACTACTGTGCTCACTTCCTCCCAGGGTAACTCAGTGCAAGTACAAGCGCATTGGCTGTCCATGGCATGGCCCTTTCCATGAGCTGACAGTACATGAGGCTGCATGTGCCCACCCAACCAAGACAGGCAACGAGCTGATGGAGATATTAGATGAAATGGACCAGAGCCATCGCAAGGAAATGCAGCTCTACAACAGTATCTTTAGCCTGCTCAGCTTTGAGAAAATCGGCTACACAGGTGAGGTGCCTCACCATCTGCTGCATGCTGCACAGGTGGGCTGGAGGGGAGTGCTGGGCAGGCTGTGGGTGGTGGGCACAGGCTGTGCCAAGTGGCCAGGCTCTGGAGAGGCTCCAGATAAATAGGAGGATGCCTTAGGGACAAAGACACATTGGAGACTAAGCAGAGGGAGGGGCTAACAGGGCTCCAGGGTGCAGCTTATGGCTCTCATAGCAGCCCCTCCCTCCGGGCCTCCCTATGTGTCACACAACCCCAGCAAAGTGTTGGGGCTCGACAGCTTTGGTATGGTTGGGGTCTAACTGGAAGGTGGGTTGTGTCTTGGGGAAGCCTAAGGAGCTCAGACCTGACCCTTGGAGCCCAGAACAAGAAGAGCATTCTGTCAAATAAGATCCTGCCTGCAAACGGTCACTAAAGTGACACGAAGCTGTTCAGTAACAGGGCCGAGGGCGTCCAGCTCAAACTGTAGAACTGGGAGTGAATGCCCACAGACGGGCAGACTGGACTGGGTCTAGGCCCACCGAATATCTGTGCTCCTAGGCCACTGCTGATGCCTTTGAACTTGTTGGGGAGCAGGAGCCAGGCCACAACCTGGTCCAGAGGACAGCAAGAAGCGCCTACTGACACTGGGCCCACTCAGGGAGACTCCATCCCTCTGTTGTTCAGGCACATCAGGAAGCCAGCCCAGCGCTCCGAGGGCAAATATGGCAGCCAGTCATGCTGTGCTGCCTAGCCTGGGCCTGGCTAGATGGGCCCAGCAGGCCTAGGAGGCCAAGGGCCTGAGGGCTGCAGCAACACAAAGCCATGGCTCTGCTTAGAGCAGCCTCAGCTGATCCTGGTGGCCCCATGGGGTCTGGGTAGGCTGGGGCATGTGGTTCCATCAGTGGATGGGCGGGACAAGCCTGTCCATGCAGGACGAACTGGCTGCCCTCAAGCCTGCGCCTCCACAGTGGGACTTGCCAGCCACAGGCTGTGGGCTCGCAAGAGGACTGAGAAAGCAGGTCTGCCTGCTGACTGATGGCCCCACCGATGGCCAGGCAGAGCCCACTTCACAGCCCAGCGCCCAAGGACCTGGCAGTCCCCTCGGGCAGGACTGGGTACCACTTGCCCACCACCAGCTTTTCTGGCAGCTCTGTATCAGAACCAATAAAGTGCACTTGTTCTCAGAACTGCATCCTGTCTGTGTGTCTGCTTACCATGCCCCTGCGAGGACACGGGGCTGAGGGTGAGGAGGAGGGTGGCCCTATAGGTTGGCCACACCTGGGACATGGCCTTACCTCCCACAGCCTCTGGACTCTCCAGCTAATTGGTGTTAATTCTGTTTGTAGTTGTTCCCCCAAAGCTTGTGCGCCTCCGTTTGCCATAATCCTGTTTGACTTGCCTTGTGACAAGTAGAACTTGCTGTATCTGGGTAAGTTGCCTTCCTCCTGGGCTGAGCCTCTCCTCGGCCTGGTCGGGGAAGGCGCTGCCACCCAGCCCTACCCCACACTAACTGGTGGCTGTTTCTGGCCCTGTTTGTCTCCACAGAAGTCCAGTTCCGGCCATATCGCACAGATGACTTTATCACGCGCCTCTACTATGAGACACCACGGTTCACAGTGCTGAACCAGACATGGGTCCTGAAAGCTCGTGAGAATGACTCAGAGCGCAACCCCAACCTGTCGTGCAAGCGTACGCTTTCCTTCCAGCTCCTCCTCAAGAGTAAAGTCACAGCGCCCCTGGAATGCTCCTTCCTGCTGCTTAAGGGCCCATACGATGATGTGAGGATCAGTCCTGTTATCTACCACTTTGTCTTCACCAATGAGAGCAATGAGACAGACTATGTGCCCCTGCCCATCATCGACTCTGTGGAGTGCAACAAGCTGCTAGCTGCCAAGAACATCAACCTGCGGCTCTTCCTCTTCCAGATACAGAAGTAGGATGGACCCAAGACTCCCGAGGAGCAGAGGGCCATGGCCTGGCACCACTTTCCTCTTCACCCTTGGCTTGGCAGTGGCTTCACACAACTATCTGATCATTTTAGGAAAGGAGGAGAACAAGCAAAATCAAACACTGGGAAAGTCTGCATGTGTGTGTGATGCAGTCCCCACCTCCAGCTCCCCACTCCCCCTGCCACCCCTTTCCCAGGGCAGCTGGAGGCTGGGCTGACCTCAGAGGAGACGGTGCTCTGGGCTCCTCAGGCTCAGGGCCAGCAGCAAGGAGGGTGAGAAGCCTGCGGCCCCTCTCCAATCCCATCCTCAGCTTGGTTGCACTTCCTGCCCTGGTTCCTGGCTGGGCTCAGGGGCCCTCGTGGACTGCAGAAGGTGATTTGATTGTGATTAAAAAGGCAGCCTTGTTTCCTACTTGATGTTTTGTTGGAGGGGAAGGCATGGCTGTGAACGGACGCCGTGGGAGTTTTGTTTTGGCCTGGGGGGTCAGGGACCACTTTGTCTCTGTTACTGCACTCATGCATGCCTCCCAGGAAAAACTTGAGACTGCCTTCCCTTCATTCAGCCTGTCACAAGGTTCTTAGGACAGGACTGGGCAGAGAAAGCCAGGAAGGGTTGAGGCTCCCCCAGCCACCCAGCTGCTCCCAGGGAGGCAGGACTTTGCCACCAGGGCTCAGCAAATGTTTTCGGAATGCAGGGTGAAATTCTCGTCCCAGGAAAAGAAAATACTCTACAGGCTCTTCTACTATAATTGACGCGATTTTAATGAGAGAGAATCCATTCACTCTACTTCAGTCTGGAGGGCACAGTATCCTAAGGATGTAGAGGAGCAGTCACAGGCTATGCCAGCTTGGTAGTGCAAGGTCTGCTGTCAGAGACTGACTGCTGGCCACAATGTGGTTTCCTGACTGAAAAAGGTGGGCCCACCCAACCTTGACTGGTGTTCTGAGGGACTCAGGGTGGGAAGCAGCCCTGCATGGAGGAGCTGGGCTCTCATCTGTTCTTCCCTTGGACCCTCAGAGGTACTAGGAAGGGTAGAACTCGATTAGGAGATGGGCTCGTCTGTGATAGTTTTTTGTTGCTTTAATACCAAAGAACTGGTTTCCTCTGCCCTGGCAAAGCCTACCACATGCCTCAGAGCAGCCACCACCTGGCCCTTGCAGGCTGCCTTGGCCTAGGTTCCCACTACTGTTCCCTGAGAGCCTGAGAGTCAGGCAGTCCTGGCTGGGTCTATACCCAAGTCAATGGCTTAGGCCATTGACCCGCCCAGGGCTCCTCCCACCCTGATCTTTAAGGTCAGATAGCTGAGAAATAGTGTGAAGGGACTATAAAATGGAGTGTAAACTCCATAGCCATTTTTCTATGTGGCTGACACTGGCCAGTGTGTCCCCCTGAATCAGTTCTGCCCTCTTCCCAGGGAAAAGTCTCTAGGCTTTTTCAGAGCTAGTTCTGAAAATCCTGTTTGGGTTCCTGGTCTCAGCTCAGGGCAAGGACCTGCTGAAGTGTCCCTTGGGGAGCCTTCTCTTCCATAAAGCTGATGAGCTGGGGTGTTGGGAAGGCCCATATTTGCTTTCTGCTCTTTTCAAAGACCTAGTCCAGGTCCCAGCAATCTGTGGGGTCTGTGGCCACTCAAGTTGAGCCAGGTAGCACCCATGTCTGCTCAGCAGGCATACGGAGGACCTCAGGAGGACAGGCAGAGGCCTTCTGGAAGTCCCATCAATTCTAAGATGGGAGGCATGGCTGGCTTGGCTTGTCTACCTGTATTTGGGTGTGTATCAGACACTGTGAACTAGTACAGATCAGGATGGGCAGCTTGTTCCTCAGGCACAGCCAAATTGGGACAAAGTGGGCAACTGGACTGGCAAGGGCTGCAGGGACTAGGAGGCCACAAAGGGGACAGAGGCCTAGCTGGCAGTCCTGTGGCCTCCAAAGTGCCAGGTGCCAGCCCAGTGTGTGGGGCGGGGGATGGAAGGAGCCAGCCCAAGGCGTGGCTAGAAGCAAGGGCCTCCTAGAGGTATGGTGTTTCTGGTGTTGGGCATCCCAGTGCTATCCCAGCATGGACCTGCCCTGTGACTGTCCCATGTGCCAGCTGAGCCTTGCAGCCTAGGGGAAACCAGGCAATTGCAAAGACTGGTGTGTCCTTAGCCATGCTGGGGGCTGGTGCCACAAACCTTGTGGCATTGTCATTGTGGGCCCTTTATTACTGGGGGTGCCACATTTACTGGTTTGTCTCCAGAACCTTCTGTCATCTTGCTGTCCTGACCTGGTTCCTTATCTGTTATCTCTGTGAATGGAGGGCCCAGCCTCAGCAGATACGGGGGAAGCCTGGGGGTCATAGGCTAAGCAGCGCCTTCCCCTCCTCCTACACAGGTCTTACCCCAATCCCTGTGAGCACCATACCCCTCAGTTTGCCCAAAGTGAGACATTTACAAAAATAATAAAAATAATTTTTTAAAGAGCAGAGCAAGAAGTGTTTTTATGGCTGTTGGAAATGACTGTCATGTCACTTTTGTGGTCTGCGTTTTCTTTGGATATTTTCTGTATGTAACTGTAGTTTAAAAAAAAAAAAATTCCAAACCATGTTTTGTCTGTGTTTCCTTACTAGAAGACAGCCTTGTGGGCTTCTTGGGCTCTGCCAGCTCCAATTGCCTGCTGCCTGTGGCTGCCTCCTCTCCAGGCCTCCAACCCTGTGCAGCACCTCCTGCTTGGCCAGAAGGGAAACAGGCATAAAGAAGTTATGTATGTAGTCTCTGAAAGAACTGGGCTCCCAGGAGCTACACTGCCCTGTGAACCCTGAACCAGGAGGGAAGGCAGTACATGGTCTTCCCAGCAGCTCTGAGGCGAGCTTCCTCTGCTCCTGAGCCACCATTCCCAGCCTGTGTGAGCCAGCCTCTGCTTCCATGCCTTGCTGCTCAAGTTTCACTGTGCCCCTTGCCTCACCTGTGCACCAAGCTGCCTTGGTTTCAGAGCCACACTCTGGATAGAGAAAGAGGTGGTCCATGGGGCCAGGGAGATGGCTCAGTAGAACAAGCGCTTGCCTGGCAAGTGCAAGGGTCTGAGTTCAATCCTCGGTTCCGCAAAAAAAAAAAAAAAAAGAAAGAAAGAGGTGGTCCAGGCCTCCAGGGCTCATCCCCAGAACTCCTGGGCCCAGCTGGGAGCTGTCCGCACCTCCCCCTCCAAAAGGAAGGCTATGTGCATTTGATTCTCCTGCTCCTCCCATGCAGCTTCGCAGGCTACCTCACTGTACTGCTGCAGGCCCACACCTGCCCAGCCTCAGCCCACACCACGAGGCCATGGGTCTGCTACATCAACCTGGCTGTGGCACCCCTCCTGGAAGCATGTGCCCTCCACCTCTTTCCACTAGGCCTCCCTGTCCATCCACAGACCCATTTACCTCATTGGGTCTGTTTCATTTTTTATTTGTTTTTGACTTTTTGAGACAGGCTTTCACTATACAGTTCAGGCTGGCCTTAAATTCCCTGAAATCTTGCCTCAGCCCCCTGAGTGCTAGCATTACAGGTGTGTGCCACCACGCCTAGCCCACCATTGGGTCTGTTTTGATCCCAATGAAAATAAACCTCTTGAGGGCTGGGGATTTAGCTCAGCAGTAGAACTCTTGCCTAGCAAGATGGAAGCCCTGGGTTTGGTCCTCGGCACCAAAAACAAACCGGGGTGGGGGAGGGGGAAAGAAAACTCTCCATCTTCCACTCTGGGACTTTTCACCCATCCTCCTCTGGGTCCTTCAGTACACAGACAGTGGCAAAAGGTACCCACTGCTAGGCTTGCTGCATAACCAGGGGTGACAGCCCCAAGACATGGCATGTGCTTGTCGTCAAAGTAAAAATGGCAGGGTACCCCAAGGATGCCAGACAATTGTAAGTCCCTGGTGCAAGTGACAAATCTGAGTAAAAATATCCCCAAACTAGACTCTTAACTCCCTCTGACCTTTTTTTAAAATTTTAGGGCCGGGGAGATGGCTCAGTAGAATAAGTGCTCACCTGGCAAGTGTAAGGGCCTAAGTTCAATCCCCGGTTCTGCCAAAAAAAAAAAGGAAAGTAAGAGCGTTACAAAATGTCTATAATGGGCTAGGGAGATGGCTCAGTGGAATAAGTGCTTCCCTGGCAAGCGCACGGGTCTGAGTTCAATCCCCGGTTCCGCCAAAAAAAAAAATGTCTATAACAAAAACGGCAGGTGGACTTGCAGACAACCAGGTGGGTGCCCCCATCACAGTGGTCCTGCAGCAGACGCCAACCCCACAGCGTCCAGACTTCACCCGTGCTGCGTACCTAGGGTCAGGCACTCGGCCCCTCCCCCCACCCCCCGCGCTCCCAAAGAACCAACCACCGTGAGGGGGCGGGGCCTCGGCCTGGACGCCTACGGGCAGGAGGGAGCAGGCGCAGAGATCTGGGAGTGGCCGACACCGAAGCCGGGAGAGGCGGGGCGTGGGCGGGGCCTCGGCGCCGAGCGCGGGAAGTCTGGAACCTGCGAGCGCTGCTGCGGCGCGGCCAGGATGTTGGAGCGAGAACTTCGTCGTGAGTCCCTCCGGTTGCGGGTGCCGGGCTCGGGGCGGGAAGTGGACCTCGGCTTAGACCCCCCACACACTGTTCTTCCTCCCAGCAGAGCTGAGCAAGGCCAAGGCCAGAGCACAGAGGAGCGGGCAGCCGAGAGAGGAGGCGGCCTTCTGCCACCAGCTGGGGGAACTGCTGGCCGGCCATGGTGAGCGCACGCAGGCGCGGGGCGCAGTTGGACCCAACCCCTCCGGACTGCCCGACCAATTACGGCGCCGTGCCTCTCCCCAGGCCGCTACGCGGAGGCCCTGGAGGAACACCGGCAGGAGTTACGGCTGCTGGAGGGCTCCCAGGATTCCTTGGGTTGCGCCGTGGCCCACCGAAAGATTGGAGAGAGGCTTGCCGAGATGGAGGAGTACTCGGCAGCCCTGCAGGTGAGGCACTGCCGCCTCCCAGAGGTGGCAGGAGAGGTGAGGGGACCCATTGCTGCTAGGGTCCATGGGCAGCACACCAGGAACTCCTGGTCTCCTCTTGTGACAGAAGGCACTAACTAGTTACAGCGTGAAGCTGCTGTCATCATGCAGACGGCCCTTGGTGCAGAGCAGAGGTGACATATGTGACCAGTTCTGTGGGGCTTTGGGAAGATAGGGGGCTCTCCTGGGCAAGAGTAGCTTCCCCTAGGGTCAGGACTTGGGGGTCTGCTTCCGGTGGGGTCAGTTCGGTGGCTTTTCCTCTTCGCACCAGCACCAGCACCGCTATCTGGAACTGGCTGGCTCCCTGTCCAACCACACGGAACTGCAGAGGGCTTGGGCCACCATCGGCCGCACACACCTGGATATCTATGACCACTGCCAGTCAAGGGAGGCCTTGCTGCAGGCCCAGGCTGCCTTTGAGAAGAGCTTGGCT